TGAGCTTCCGGTCGGTTCGTGTCTTGTTGACCAGCGGCGACCCCGCCGCAGGCGTTCCACGTTGAACGTCGCCGGCGACCCAGAATCGGTCGATGTGGAACGAACTGACGTTTCGGAAACGGCCGATCGTTCAAGGTTGAATGATCCCCGCGGTGTCAGCGGCGGCGAGCCCAGGGGGGAAGTGAGAAGGAGAAGGCCTTCTCAGAAGGCTCGGAAGTCCCGCGGCCTTCCGAGAAGTTTCCTAAGCCTTCCCCGAAGGCACGACAAACTTCTCAGAGAAGGCGCGAGGATTTCTCTGAGAAGTCCCGCGGCCTTCTGAGAAGGCCTTCTCCTTCTCTCCCCCCCCTCTTCTCATCGAGCGCGTTTCACGACTCGCAAAGTGCGCTTGTCTACAGTCAGCGCGCATTGTAAGGATGGGCAACCTTCCCAATGCTACCCTTGCATCCTTGCCTCCTCGGTCCATTCCTCGCCACTTTCGTGGGCCGCGCCCAGCTCGAAAGGCTCGAAATGGGCGTCCATAGAGGTACAAGCAATGCCATTAATATAACAACTCGGAGGTCCGCGCGGATTTCTTGGATCCGCGCTGGACCCCCCTCCCTGGCGCGCGGGGCGCGCCAGGGGCGGCGCCAGAGGCGCCGCCAGGTGGCCCCAGCGCCGACCCGAGAAATCCGCGCGGACCTCCGAGTCTCTGTGTTTATGTCATTCTTCGCTCCCCTAGTCCAAGGCCCCTGCATCCTTGTCGTGCATCCTTGCGATACGGGTCGACTGTACCCTCGCTTGCCGTCGAGACGAGAGCCGATCGCCCAAGGCAGCACGAATCGCGAGCCCCTGCCGTGTGCTTCCGCACACCCGCGCGGCGCGCCGGGTCAGCGACGGCACGCGCAACGAATTCTGTCGCCCAGGGCGCCGGCTTCTCGGAGCGGGGCGCCAGCTTTATGTCATTCTTCGTTCCCCTACTGAACCTCAAGAACAAGCTCCTCCTGGGGCCTGCGAGCCGGCCCCGCTCCGAGAAGCTGGCGCCCTGGGCGACAGAATTCGTTGCGCGTGCCGTCGCTGACCCGGCGCGCCGCGCGGGTGTGCGGAAGCACACGGCAGGGGCTCGCGATTCGTGCTGCCTTGGGCGATCGGCTCCCGTCTCGACGGCAAGCGAGGGTACAGTCGACCCGTATCGCAAGGATGCAGGGGCCTTGGACTAGGGGAGCGAAGAATGACATAAACACAGAGACTCGGAGGTCCGCGCGGATTTCTCGGGTCGGCGCTGGGGCCACCTGGCGGCGCCTCTGGCGCCGCCCCTGGCGCGCCCCGCGCGCCATGGGAACGGGTCCAGCGCGGATCCAAGAAGTCCGCGCGGGCTTCCTAGTTGTTATGCTCATGTAGTTGATCGTGCCCCTATTCAGACAAGTCTATTTGCATGGCTTTCGCCTCTCCCTCCCCCTCGCCCTTCTTCAGTCGAGCACGAGCGTGCAATTGCCTGTCGACTCGCGTGGCTTCCGCACGTCAAGTCATTTGTGGATTGCTTCAGGTTCAGGCCCCTCCCCGCTTCCATGCAAGTAAACTTGCCAGAGTCTGAGAAAATAACAGACTCGAGAGCGCGGCCCGCCCCGCCCAGAGGGGGGCCCTGCGCTCGTCGCCGTCGTCGTCGTCCTCGTCCTCGTCCTCGTCTTCTTCGTCGTCGTCGTCGTCGTCGTCCTTGTCCTCGTCGTCGTCGTCGTCGTCGTCGTCGTCGTCGTCGTCCTCGTCGTCATCGTTCTCGTCGTCGTCGAGGACGAGGGGCTCTACGTGCAGTGGCGCCCGAGGGCCTGGAGGGACCAGCGGTCGGGCGAGAACCCGATCTGGAAGGCCGCGGGGATTGGGGCCTCCCAGCTGGGGTCCGAGTGCAGAGGAGGGAGGGCCACCGAGAGACCGCGGCCCGTCCCCCCTCGCCTTCCCACCTCTCGAGCTTCCTGGCTGGCCCTCGTCGCCACGGCTGGATCGGCCTCGAAATCCTGGTCGGAGCGCACCCCAGGAGAGGTCTGGGGAGTAGCCGCACCACCTCTACCCCAGACCCATCCTTCCAGGAGAGGAAAATCACCACCCACCAAACCACCCCAACCCAACCCGAAGGCCTCAATTTGCCCTCCATTTCCAGTTGGGGGGGGTCGGGGAACATCGAAAAAACACGTATGGAGCCCGTACCCCCCCAACCCGAAATTGGGGTCTTCGGGTTGGGTTGGGGTGGTCTGGTAGGTAGTCAGAAAAGGTACCCATGCCACCCCTACCCCTCCCGTTTTCCCCTTTTCGGGGCCTCCTGGGTGGCTCTCGTCGCCCTCCGCTGGATTCGCCTCGAACTTCTGGTCAGAACGCACCCCGGGAGAGAGGTCCGGGGAGTAGCGATGTAGGTACTTTTTGGTTTCCCCATCCTTCGTGTTTCCCTCCTTCCCTTCTTTGTCGCCCTCTTCCCCCTTCTATCTGGAGAGTGCTTGCACTGTGGTGGCTTCCCCCTTCTGTCCAGAGAGTTCTTGCGTGGTAGCGGTGTTGGCACCTTGTGGACTCCCCACGAGCAGATGGGGTCGGAGCATCGCGCCGCATCGGCGATGCGCCTCGATGTTGAACCTGATTTTCTCCACGCAGACGTCGCCGATGTGTCGTGGCCTGAAGGCCGAGGCGCGATCCCATGGGGGTGCGCGAGCCCGTGGGTGGGGCACCCACGCGGGGCATCCACGCGCGGAGGATGTCCGGGCCGCGGAGCCGTGGATGTGGGCACGTTCCCGGGCCCCCTCTCGGGGCAATCAGAGTGGGTACCGAAAGAACGGGTACGATGCCCAACAGTCGGGGGCGGCAAAGAGGGGGGTGATGGCTAGGGGGGGTGGATATCACGGCGTGGGCCATGATATTTCCCCAGATTCCCGGGCGCCTCTTCTTATTTTATTACGTCTCTGGTCCCCCCCTTGGGCCGCGCACATGCCGCTGGCCATGATTTGCGCCCCCCTCCCTCTTGGACGCTCCCCTCTTGGCCGCTCCCGAAACAGTAGTTTCTGCTCATTCTGAACAGGACTTGCTGTTCGCGCCACTGCGGACGTTGATCTTTGAGGACAAGACGCCGCCTGCCCAACAGCGGCCGTTGTCGTTTTTTGACAGCATTTGCTGTCGGGCATCGTACCTATTCTCTTCGTAGCCATTTCGGGCGTCCAGACCCTCGCGTCATAAAAAATCACGACGAAAGTTTTTTCGCTATTGTCCGGACCCCAGGGCCCTCACCAGGCCTCGGGACTGTCAGAAAACGACTCAGGATGAAAAACCAGTCCCTGGGAAGGGATCGAAACCTCTCGGGGTGGACGCCATGAGAAAATCATGATTACACCAGAGAAGGACCCCAGTCAGTGGATGGTTCTACAGATTTGGAAGGTACCCTGTCTGGCCGCAGTGAGATCGATCATGAGATCGATGGTGGGCTCGATCGTGGGATCCCGAGATCGGCCCAGAACCAGCAACGGGGATCCCCTCGAGCCAGGGAATCCGGAACCGGGAACCCCGGAACCCAGCCGGCCACCGACATCGGCCCCGGACTTTCGCCAAATCTTTCAATGTCCGCTAGGACACCTTCAGTACAAGCACTGCTTGGGGAATGACGTCGGGGGTCTGGGTTGCCTGCCCGAGATTGTCAGGACCCGGTGGCGCGGGCCGCACAATGGGCAACGAGCGTGCGCTTTCAGAAACGCAAGCGCGCATGCAAACAAGGGCATGCAGACGTCGTGGAATTCATCATCATCATCATCATCAGCAGCAGCAGCATCATCAGCAGCAGCATCATCATTTACATTATCATCATGATCATCACCATCACCATCACCATCACCATCACCATCATCATCACCCTCATCATCAACATCATCTTCATCATTAATATCATCATCATCATCCGTAATTGCGACCACCATCATCCATCATCAGCACCATCACTTCCATCACTAGCGCCGTCATCGTTGTCGTAGTATCCATCCCCCGCGTCCAGCTCAACACTTCTCCTCCTTTCACCATCTGTCTCATCACCCCCTCATCAAAGTTACCTCCTTTCCATAAGCACCATCATCCTTATCGTCATCAGCACTCCCATCATCCACGGCGGCCCTACCATGAAAATTATGCGCTGCGCCGGCCTCTGGGCGTCGTATTTCGCCTGCGTGAAGAGCAGGCCCAGGTATAGTTTTTGCCGGCGTGGCCCCCCTCAACACTTTCGCCCCCCACGTTGATCAAATAGGGTAGCTCGGCATTGACGGGATGACGCTGCGTCAAAGCGCTTGCGAGCAACTTGCAAGACCAGTGCAAGTGAAGGGATCTGGCTTCGGTGCCTGGTGGCCAGGGCGGTGTCGGCCCAAGGCGGTCCTGACGATCTGCACGTTGTCATGCTGCATGCCGTAGGGCCTCTCAGTTGGTAGGGACTTCTCCTGGCAGCCAGAGAGCTCGATGGGCGCTTCCTGGCCGTGCAGGTAGGAGTTTTCCTCCTCCCGCGAAGCCTTAGGAAGCAGCCAATCACTCCTCGATGCATGTGGTTATCGGTCACCGCCAGACCCTCTCTTGCCCAAGCTTTTTGCATGATCATGCTGCCACAGTTCACATATCCTTGAGCCTTCGTGGTCACCCCCCAACCTTTCGCCAGATCAGGACTCAACATGAGGGCGCTGGCCGTGTACCGTGAATGCTTATGTCGCCGTTTGCGATTCGATCGGCTGTGCTATTCTGACATATCTGGTGACATCGCTTGTTTAATGATGATTGAGGTTCGGACTTCTCAT